TTCTTCTTCAATATTTTTTATTTGTAGATGGACACAATACCTTTATTTATTCATTTTTATGTGGTGCTAAGGATCAAACCCAGGGCCCTACATGTGCTTGGCAAGTGCTCTACCACTGAGCTACAACCTCAGACCCTGAAAGAGCTTCTTTAATATTGATACTAATTATTTAAAGAGTGAATTTGTCTGGGCCTGGAGATTTCTTTTTCAGGATGTTATAAATGATGAGTTCAATTTTTGATGTTTAGTGGGTTGTTTATATTGCCTGTTTCATCTTGGTTGAGTTATTATAGTTTGCGGTTTTCCAGGAATTCTTACAGTTTTATATTGTCAAATATATGAATATGAAGTTTTCAGTATTTTTTTCTTTTTAAATGACTGTAACAGCATAGTGATATCCTCTTTGTTATTCCTGATGTCAGTGATTTATCTTTTTATTTATTTACTTTTTAAATATTGGAATGGGTTTATCAACTTTATTTATTTTTTAAAAAATCTTAATTTCTTATTGATTTTATCATTTTATTTTACATTCTATTGATTGCTGCTCTCTATTGTTTATTTCCTTCTTGAGTTGAGTTTATGTTACTGTCTTTTTCTAGTTTCTTGATGTTGGAAATTAAGTCATTGATTTAAAACATTCCCCTCCACCCTACTTTTTTGTTTGTTTGTTTCTGTATCAGAGATTGAAACCAGGGGCACTTAACCACTGAGCCACATCCCCAGCCTTTTTTTATATTTCATTTGAAACAGGGTCTAGTTGCTTAGAGCTTCTCTTAAGTTGCTGAGACTGGCTTTGAACTTATGATCTTCCTACCTCAGCTTCCTGAAATGCTGGGATGACAGGTGTGAGCCACTGTGCTTGGCAGCACTGTTTATTTTTGTCCCATGTATTTATATGATGCATTTTTGTTTTTGTTCACTTGTATATGTTTTTTAGATATCTTTGAAACTTCTTTGACTTGTGGATTATAAGTGTGTTAATTAATTTCTGCACATTTAAAGAGTTTCCTGTTGTTTTTTTCTTTTATTGATCTATATTTGATTCTGTTATATGCCCCAGTCTGGCTGGGCAGGATTCAGGAGCCACTTGTCAAAAGAAACTAACTTTATTTTTAGAACCACACACGGCCAAACAAAACAGCTCCTCAGGAAAAACCCTCAGAGCCCAAATGCCACCACCAGCTTCCCACAAGCCTCTCCACCTCCCACAATCCTCCTGCTCTTAAGGCCGATTGGCTGGGTTGTGTGGGCGGAGCCAAAGAAGTCCCCCAATGAGCAGCTCCATGGTTTGAAAGGGCAGGGAAACAGCCCAATGAGCATCACCACAGAGGAGCCAATCAGCTAGATGTTGCTGGGGCTGCTGTGAGCCAATCATCAGCTGGCAGTCTGAAAGTTTGCTGGCAGCTGGAAGTGTGCTGGGGCCCCTTCGGCTGTGGCTCTCAACAGTTATGATTAGCTAAAACATTGGACATGATTTAAAATACCTTAAATTTGTTCACCTTTATGGTTAAGAATACAGTCTATTTTGGTGAATATTCCATAAGTGCTTGAGACAAATGTCCACTCTTCTTTTCTTGGGCAGATTGTTCTGTATATGTAAATTAAATATTATTGGGTACTTATTTTTTTCTGGCAGTCTATCTTTAAGATTTATGGGTTAGTGGGTCCAAATCAAAGGGAGAATTTTGATATTTCCAACTACTATTGTTTTTGTTTTTCTCCTTCCAGCTTTGTCAGATTTTGGTGAGTGTATTTTGGGTTTCTCTTGTTTAATGTGTAAACATTTATGATCATGTTTTCCTGATAGATTAATACTACTATGACTTAATGCATGTTTATTGCACATAACCCAAGAACGAAATACAGATTCATTTTTACTATACTTATTATTGGTATTATTGTTATCATTGTTAGATTTGTAAGCATAATATATTTAAAGCCTAACAAAATAAATTCTAAATTAAGCTAATTTATTTCCAAATAATTACTTAGGAAAGTCATGAGTCTTTGGCTTTTTGTAACATAGGATTGATAATAATATTTTCCCTACTTTGGAAAATTTGGGGGAATTTAGTACCAAACAGGGTATTTTGTAAACTATAAATCACTATCCAGCTATAAAATAAATGTATACTTAGGAAATGTGCAGTTAGGATAACAATGGATTTTTATGCACATTTAGGAAAACACATGTTATAGTGGGATATGGTGAACTTTAGAGGTGTATATGAAAAGTCATTTGTATCATTTTGTCCTTAGATATTCTTTTATACCCTAAATGATATGTTATAGCATCACAATGTTATTTTTTTAGTTTTTGTAGTTGTAGATGGACAGTATGCCTTTATTTTATTTTATTTTTAAAAATTATTTTTATGTGTGCTAAGGATCAAACACAGTGCCTCACATATGCCAGGCAATCACTCTGCCATAGAGCCATAGCTGCAGCCCCACAACCTTCTTTTATTTCATCGTATTTTGCATCTTTCAAACTATTTTCTTAAGATCAATTCCAGCTTTTCTGAGGGTCAGATGAATGTATTATCAACTTAAATGGAGATTCCCAAGATGAATTCCAAATATGTTTTGAGCAATACATATATTAAGTGGGTAGTCTTTCAAGGTGAGTATTTAAGAGGGTATACCATGCACTTATATGCATAAAACCTAAACTTTATTAAAAATATATCTCATTATCTTGTCTTCACGTCATTATTTCTTAATTCCTTTTGCTGACAACTATGCTATCTGTAGATCTGTAAGGAAATCAAAATGTGTTTTTAGGAGATAAAAGTGTCTATATTTGTCCCCTTATAGATTTAACTATGAATTTGTTTGATTATTAAAATTAATTATGTGGTCCTCTTTCTCCTCTCTTAGGATGATTCCATCTTGTGAATTGGAAGTTGCATCATTAGTTGATTTTGGCACAATAGTTGCCAATAGTAAAGTGTATTTTAAAGAGATTAGAATTATTAACCATGGCAAAGCTCCAGGTAAATATTTTCTGTCATATAAATTCACTTACAATTTTGGAAGTATTCGAATTATTTTATTTTTATTTATTTATTTTATTTGTTCTAATTAGTTATACATGATAGCAGACTGCATTTTAATTCATTAAACACAAGTGGAGCACAACTTTTCATTTCTCTGGCTTTACATGATATAGAGTCACACCACATGTACCTAGGTAATGACGCTCATCTTATTCCACCATCTTTTCTACCCCCATACCCCCTCCCCTTACCTCCCTCCCCTTTGCCCAAAATCCCATTCTCCCCATGCCCTCCCCCCACATTATGGGTCATTTTTTAAATGTATGCCTTGTTTTATTAATAGGTTCTCTGAATCATCAAAAATATGCCTATCATTTGAAATAGCTCAAATCAAAAGCCTTTAAATAGCATGACTGTAAAAGGGCAGATAATGCAATAATTCAGGAAAAATGAACCTGCCTTCTTATGATACTAATTAATACAGCCTGACTCTCAGATGATTGGTGAATGCCCTGAGAAAAGGGAGGAGGAAGGTATCATAGAGGTGACATTGTCCTTAGCACTATCAAACAGCGGAATTTAGGGCACAGTGCCTTGCTATCTGTGTGAGCTGGGGCAGGTTTTTTTTTTTGTTGTTAAATTTTAGATTGTTTATAAATTGAGACTAATACAATGAATGATTGTTAATTATGTACACCTTAAAATTGTGGCATGGTGTTTGGCTCATCCTAGGCACTCACTAAGTATTTATCCTCTTTTAGTGCTAGACAGGACCAGATCTGTCTTTGAGATAGCTTAAGGAACACATAAACCAGATCTTAATCCCAAAACTCTTTTATACTAACTGTGGTAGTTATCTGGGGTTGCCTGATTGATCATTGGGAATTATTAAGACAAAGGTGATATATCACATTACTGATTTTTTCCTAGGGTGTGAAAAAATAAAACTGATAACTGTTTTTAATTGAATATTGCTTATTATACTTACAATGTTTTAATTTTTAAATGATTGAATGTCCAATATCTGTGAGTTGATGAAATATTAGGCTCATTTGTAGTCTTATTCCATTGTGAAGGATAGACTCTCTCATTGCAAGTGATTATGGACCATATGGTCCTGTGGCCTGTGATTATACTTTAAACAATGATATGCAACTGAGAGATTTTTATTTGTATTATTTTTACTGTTCAGAATTTCTCTTAACTATTGTTCATTCATAATCCTTCAGAGTTTAAATCACAATTATATATCTTTTTTATTCTAAAATCTCACCAAATTAAATAGTTTTATTGAACTGAAATCCCTTGGTAAAAGATAAATATGGATTTAATTTTAATTGAATACTTAATATAATTTTACTAAGTGAAATAAAAGAAATAAAATTAAGCTACAGGCCTGGGTTCATATATTTTTGGAAAAATAATCCAAATTATCTTTTAGTATTGTATTAAAATTTTATATGTAATATTTGTACTAACTTGGTGAGGTATATTATAACTGAATACTGTGAAATGATAACTATTAACTTACAAACTGAAACAAATTGTTATCAATGAATTAGATTTTTTATGACTTTGTCCCTCACTCTTGAATTTGATTATTTTTCTACCATTACCAAAATTGATAGTATGCATTATATTCACGGTAGTGATGCCTCTAAAGTGTCATAAAGTCCTTATTATCTACAAGTACATATACAAATTAATTATAATAGCAATGTATATTTATTAAGAAAAACACTTCTGCAGAAAATAGATTCCAAAACCAAAGATGATTTTAAAAATTTTAAAAAGCATTTCACATGACAAATATTTTATAGTTTTAGAGTCAATGTTAAAATGCTTACAGATTTATATCTGTACTTAAAAAGACAATAAAAAAACACAGAAGTTTTATGATTTTTACAGCTTTGATTTTTCTCTTTCTGGTCGTGTTGCTAGAGATGTTATCTTTGGTTTTGTAGACCCAAAAGCTTATCCAAAGAAAAAATTCCTAAGGGTTAATGGTAAAACCCAATAAGGAAGAAAAAACCAAGGAATTGGCCAAAAAATAATGAAAAAAATTTTTTTCTCACCATTTATAAAAATGATTTCTAAGTTTTCTCCTGACTTAAAAGTTGTGTTTGCCTTTTCTTTCTGGGAAGATATGGTTCATTATTTAAGGTTTCTCTAAAATTAGTACATTGTAAGTTGATGAACTCCATGTTCCCTTTCATAATTTTATGGTATGGATAATACCCCTATTGTCTTTCAGTTTTTATCTTTGAAGGTTGAAAAAATATTATTTTAGCATGCTTTAAACTGCAGTCATTTCCTTCTTTGCTGACCATCCTCAATGATTTGAATAGATTTTTATAGCATAATATAATGGACAGCACTCGCTAAAGTGTGGCAAACCCCTAAGGAACCCTTATATTTAATGTACAAAAAAAAAAGGAACAGCAGTTCACAAAAGAGAAATAAATAGGGGTAGAGGTTGTAGAAAGAGAATTATAACATTAATAGTTGATTTTTATTGAACACGATGTAAACCAGAGAGTATGGTATGCAATTTATTATTGTTTAAATAGATGCAGTTTGACTGGAACTTGACAAATCTAGGTTCAGCTCAGCTGAGTGTACGGCTTCAAGCCAAGGAAGCTGAGCTGTTCTGTTTCTTACTGAAGGTTTGTGGGTCAACTGGATGGATTTGCTCCACATTTTCATATTCTGGGGCATAGGCCGAAGGGATAGCAATTACTCGGGAAAAACATTTCCCACTTCCCTAAGGAAATACATATGGATTGAAACTGGCATGCTATTAAAGCTCACGTGTGAGATAATGCAAGAAGGCTTGGAGAAGAAATGACTGGGCTGTGAAAGCTTTAACCCAATCAGTGAATCACTCACCTGATGGGATTAATTGAGTGGTAATTGAAGGCAGGTGGGGTGTGGCTGGAGGACCTGGGCAGTGGGGGTGTGGCTTTGGGGTATATATTTGTATTTGGCAAGTGGAGATTTCTCTCTGCTTCTTGATCATCAAGCTGCTTCCTTCTTCCACATTCTGCTGCCATGAAGTTTAGCCTCACCTTGAGCCCCAAGGAATGGAGCCTACTGTCTGTGGATTGAGACCTCTGAAACCATGAGCCCTCATATAAACTTTTCCTCCCTAAAATTGTTCTAGTCGGGTCTTTTAGTCCCAGTAGCAAAATGCTGACTAAAACACATGCTATTGATTCTATCCACATGTTGTTGGTAAAGCAAATCACACAAAGAAGCTCAGTGTCAGGAGATGGGAAAACATACATTGTACATGGTCGAGTAAGAGTTTGAATGCAGAGAAGGGTGAAAAATTGGGAATCAAGAATCTAATCTTCCACACCAGCTGTTGCACTTTGGAAGAAGTAACTCAACATTTCTGGGTGTCTATTTTCATATTTGTAAAATCAAGATAAATGATTGAACCTATATCATAGAATTGTTGAGGATTAAGTTGAATAAAATATGTAAAGTTCTTAGTATAACTGTCTAAACATAGTAAGAGGATAATATTGTTCAGCTATCTGTAAGACTTGAGTCCTAACACAAGGCTCATGTTTGTTGGCTTACCCTGGCATCTGGAATTACAACTAAATCTGTCATTCTTGGTCAACACTAGACTATCTTCTCTGTAATATCTGTCCCCTAAGACTGTGAATGAAGCATTGTAAGGGTCCATATGTAAACCATTACTCTTATTCCCCTTAGGTATATTTAAAACAGACTACCAGGGCCAACTACCCATCCTCATGTCTCCAGCTAGTGGTGTTGTGGAGGCTAAGTCATCAATGATTCTCAGAGTGAATTTCTGTGCAGACCAGCCCAGAATTGTAAATGAAGTGGCAAAGTAAGTATATATTATGGTTCTTAATTCTAATATGGGTCTTAATAACTGCCTTGTTTACTCTTCAGGTGTACCTTTGATTGTATATGAGCTTCCTTTTCTTTCATTCAGCAGTCATTCATTGAGGTTCTACTATTTGCCAACCACCAGGGTCTCAGAAATGGGAAGAACTAGAGAATAGCATATTGGTACACAAAACAGGAGCTGCTATCTTGAATCTTGTGGAGTGGATCAGGGAAGGACTCCACCTACAAGGCAATAGATGAACCAAAGAATTATCAGTGAGGAAGAATTAGCTAGCAAACAGCAGTGATGTGATTGGGTATGTGGTGTATCTGTGTCTATGTGTAGGGGAAATAAGTGTTGGTGATAGAAGTGAGTTGGAGGAGTCATTTCAGGTAGAGCAAGTAGCAGACTTAAAATCCTAGAGGAGAAAAGGTGGTTTTACATATTGTGGGATCTGAGGCAATGCAGAGTCAAAGAGATGCAACGTGGTGCTTAAAAGAAAAGTGGTGCTGGGCTGATCAAAGACACACCTGGGATAAGAAGCAAGCAGGAGAGAGCAGCAGCAACTCCCTCTTGAATGTTACCTTTTATAGGCTAAAATCATGGCCGGGCATTAGGGGCGGGCTTAGTCTTGGTGATTGGCATAACGAACATCCCCTGATTTTGTAGAAGGCAAGTTTGTTTCTCAGGAACAGAGACAGGCAGTTTTCCTATCTCTCAAAGAGGGAACAAGGAAACTAGCAGGTCACTTTATCTCTCAAGGAGAGAACAGAGAAACCAGCACAACTCCATCTCGGGGGCTGGTAAGTTGTCTCCTATCTCAATAAGAGAACGGAGAGAGGCCAGCATGTCTCCATACCGGTAAGTTTTAACTTGAGTTTTTCTATTTCTTGAGAATAAGAACAGTGTTAATAAAATGGGGGTGGGGGAAAGGAAGGTGGCTGTAATTATGCCAACAATGCCAAATGAGATCAGAAAAACAGAATGACATAGATCCAGAACATTTTATGAAGTATTTCTGCATTTATTAATGGAAGGTGCAAGCAGTACAATGGGTCATCAACAGTATTTAAAAGAATGAAGTAAAAAATATCAGAATATGACTCACATAGCAAGGGAAATTCTGTCTTATAAAAATTTCTCTTTGTGCATGTGTGTGTGTGTGTGTGTTTGTGTGTGTGTGTGTATGCGTGTGTGACTACATTGCAATATAAAATATATTTCTTACTGAAGACCACCATCATAAATGTGTGAGAAAATTTTGTGAATTCTGATAGGAGCATAGGTTTTATTGTGAAGGCTGTGAAGCCTCAGGACGGCTTTAGGATGAGAATGTCTTGACTAGTTTGCATTTTAGAAAAGTCGTGCAGGTAGCAGTGTGCAAAACAGATCAGGGTACACAAATGTACAGTGGGCAGTCTGACTAGAAATTATAATAAAGCAAGAGGGAAATGATAAAGGCCTGAGCTAAGGAACAAATTGGGAGGATTGAGAAAAGTGTGATATGTTAAGGAGGTAAATTTCACTAGAGTTGATGACTGATTGTAGAAAGAAAAGACAAAAGAAACAACATGTCTGTGGGAGAAGATCTTGAGTTCAGATTTGACATTTGGGGATTGACTTGCTTTTCAGAATCCTAGTAGAGCTGACTAAGACCTATTACATTCCCTTGTCTTGAGTCTGAGAAAGTAGTTTAGTTTAGGTATATTGGGCGAAGGGTCATCAATGTATAAGTGGTAGATGAAACAGGAAGGTATTAAGAATAACTCTAAGAAGGAAGGTAAAGTGTGAAAGAGTAGGAGAGAAATATCACTCACTGTACATGGAGTTTACAAAGGATCCAAGTCTTAGAATGAGCAGGCAGGGAATAAGTGATGTAGAAGGAAAACCAGGAAATATGGTGTCAAGGAAGCTAAGGGAGGACAGAGGTGTAAATAGATGAGATTAACAATACCCAATTTATTGGCTGTGATGTAAAATAAGTGCTTAGGTGATATGTGAGGAGTAGCCAGTTATTCGTGTTATATGATAAGACTAGATTTAAAAGATTGCATTTATGCCAAAGAAGGATAAATATGGAAATGCAGTTGTAAAAGATAATTGAAATTAATATAGGGAGTTTTATGGTTTTATGGGAAATATTCTTTTCAGCAAAGTAGTTGGGTTGTGCTGAGATACTTTATATTGGGGTATTAGAATATGCATGAGATTGGCTGTTAGACTTGAGGTGTAGATTGAGTTAGCTCAGAATTCTAGAGCTAGAGGTAATCATGTAAATCATCTAACTCCAGAATTAATGAAATAATTGGTGATATGGATATACCATTGAGTTCTTTCTAGGGTCAATTCATGAGTTTGTTTTCCAACTTTGTTATTTCCAGTAGACAATTAACTAGGTTGCACACATGCCATTCCACTGAATAGATTCAGACATCGATGCCTGTGAACCTTTGGCATGTATGTAAAATAAATTGGTGTTAGGCTATTGAATTTTGATTATAATATGATTTTGTAAGATTTTATCCATACATTTAGAAGACAAAATAAAGTACTTAAAATTCTAATAAAATATTTATATATGTGTTTATTTTATTATCCTATAGAGTGAGTTTGCAAGGACGTCCTGATATACACTTCAGTATCAAAGCTCATGTAGTTGAACAGATTATTGAATTGTTTAACATGAACAGTGATAAAAAGTTGGAATGCATACGCTTTGGTTCTGTTTTCTTTGGAACATCAAAAATTGAACAGGCAGTTCTATATAATAATAGCCCAGAATCCATAAATTGGGTGGCAATAATTCAAGATGATTCTGTTGGAGAAGAAATGGTAAGTAAATGGTGCAACAGTAAATGGCATAACACTTATTATGATTTAAAACAGGTCGTTCTGAACCTACTAATAACCACAAGCTGTTTAATTATGCTGAATGTATTTTAACATGGGCAGATAGATGTGATTTCATGTGTATTCTAGGTTAACCTTAAAAACTTTAGTAAATTAAGCTAACATTTATAATAATGTATATCCAAAGTAAACCAGTTAAGTATCATGGATCAGTGACTAATTGTAGTGATTTTTGTTCTCATCAATTTTTCAATATCCTTTAAATTTTATCATGTACCTTACTTGGTCAAATTTAGGTATTGTTATTTTAAAGACAGATATCCTCTATTTTCTAGATTCTAAAATTTCAATGATTGTTTTATGAGCTCCTCTTAAAATATTTTTGTGGCTTGCCTTTTATATATGCTTTTATTTCTGATTTTATGTTACAGGGTACAAATATTCGACAAAGAACAGATGTTGCTTTAAATAATCTCACCTACTTAAACAAAATAAAGAATATAGATATTACCAATTTTATCTTCTGTGTCCCGAATGAAGGGACTTTACTACCTTATCAAAAGGTTATAATTACATTTTGTTTCAGCCCAAAGTAAGTAAGCCCAAAATTTATTCCATTATAATATTACTAAGTACTAATGGAAATTGTGTTAGCTACACTGTAACCAAATTGATTTTAATACTGTCATAATAAAGCTTGCCTAAAGGCATAAATCAGATTTTTCTTGTTATTCTTCTAAATATTTCCAGCATGGTTAATATTATTTCCAATAATTTTCTTTTATTAGCACATCATAGTTATACTTAATGCTTGTTTTCATTTTGACAAAATTATACATGCATGGAATTTGATTTACTCTTTCAGTACTGGTACCCCTCTTTCCTCCCCTCTTCCCTTTTCCTGTTCTCCTTCCTTTACTATACTGGTCTTCCTTTCACTCATTTATTTATTTTTGATTGATGCTTTATAGATATACATAAAGGTAGAATTCACTGTTGTATATTTATATATGCACATAACATCTAATATTTGTGAATATAGTGCTAAAAAATTACTCTAGACCTTGTGGAAATGTGGTGGTGGAAGTGCCAAGTTTTTTTTCCCCCCTCATTATAACCACAAACTGATTTGTGCAGTCCAGAACTTGTTGTCCCTGCAGAAATAGGTACGTGCAGTATGTAGAGATCTCCAAATAGGATGCAGTACTCATGGTAGGGCAGAATCTTTGATGACTGAGTATTTTAAGTATTAAATATATAGTACCTGCTGGGATTAACCACAACTGTTTTCTGAAATGCATACAAATTTTTGATACTTAGACCAATATATTTTTTATTTTAATGTTCTTGGTTTTATTATTTAGACTGGAAAGATTTTTGGAAGTGTTACTTTTAATATATAGTAGCAATTGTAATGACACCTTGGTATGATGCAGTGCGTGTCAGTAACCAATCCTATTGCAAGTATGTTTATTCTTATTTATGAGAGGATAATATTCAATGGGCTTTTTTGTTGCAGTAGAGTCACTTGGTGATATCAATTGCCTCTTTTTTTTGGGGGGGGTTACTGAGGATTGAACTCAGTGGTGCTTAACCACTGAGACATATCCCAGCCCTTTTTTAAATTTTTTATTTTGAGACAGGGTCTCACTAAATTGCTTAGGACCTCGTAAATTGGTGAGGCTGGCTTTGAACTTGCCCTCCTCTTGCCTCAGCCTCCCAAGTTGCTGGGATTATAGGCCTGTGCCACCATGCCTGGTTCAATTGCTTTTTGAAGACTGAGTTATGTTTTAGTTTTAAGGAAGCTACTAAGTAATTGTCCCACTTGTCCAATCTAAAATTGCCTTACTAATGATACCTTCCTATAGGAAATTTATTTGGTGAAGCTATAAGATTCTGTTTAATAAGCAATATTTTAAATTCTAAATATTCTTTTCCATGGCAGCATGTTAACTTTGAAAGTCTGGCATGGACCTGTAGGTAGGAGTATGATTTGAAATCTTAGTCAAATGTGTTTGAGCACACCATTTGCATTCCTTTTTCATCTTACATATCATTCTTTTGTGTATTTGTGAATCAACTGCCAGAAGAGCTAACCTTTAGGTAAGGCACATAAAGATAGGTCAGTGAGCAGGCCCATGATGTAACCCCTCTGTCTTTGATCCTACTTCCCTTCTTTCCACCCTTACTTTTTCTCTAACAAGATTTAACTCATACAAATCTTGTTCTCAAAATTACTTGTTGTCCATGAATAAGAAGTTGGCTTGCAATATGCATTTAGTAAACTGGAGGAGAAAAATATGTAACAGAAGTTTTCAGTTACTCTCAAGAGTGAGATAGACTATTGTAAAAAATTGATCAGATTCCTTGGTCAGCAATGAATTCTGCCTGGAAAGAAAATCCTTTACAGAGAAAGTGGCATTTGAGGTAGATCTTGATGACTTAGTGCATTTAAGTTACTCTTGTCTTACAAATGTTGGCATGAACTCATTTTTCTGAACTTTGTACTCTGTAGCCTTTTTTTTTGGTCAAGTCTGTATCTGTTCAGTAATTTTGGAAAATAGATACCAGTTATATTTCTATTAACTTTCATTTGCTTGCATAGATTTAAGGATTGAGTCAATATTTTCTTTAAGAGGTGGTAATGTATATCACCTTTGCTTTAAAAATAACTGATTATAATTTTTACAGGCTAGTAACTGACGGTAAAAAAGATATTGACGCTTCACACAGGCAAGACTATGCTGTCTTTTTGAGATTTGAATCTGTAGGAAGTAAAGATGGATTTTTGAGAGATGATAACTATAAAACCATCAAAAGTAAGTATAAAATTGACAAAACCATCAAATGTATAGCAATTAAAATTATTTAAAATTTTGACATCGATTTGTGGAGGCACTTCAATAAAATTGTAATTATTAGACTGAACAAAAATACAAGCATATTTAAGTGACTGGCAAATGTTAAGGATGAAATCAACCTTAGAATCATTTACATACTAATTTTCTAGGTTAGAATTTAGATAACTTTACATCATTAGATAAACATAAAGAGTTGGATTTTTTTTTAAAAAAAAAACTGGTTTTATTTTTCTATGTATGCCTAGATTTGTTTTTAGGGCTTGGCATGGGAACAAATGACTCATTCCATTTCTACCAGACCTTCATCTCTCAGACTCTACACAATAACTCTCAAAGACAAAGACTTAGGTGTTGTATCTTGTCATAGGATACTGATAAGGGCATATGTTTTATAGGTCACATGTGAAAGTACATTATACTTTTTATATTCTCAGTTAATATTGAGCTGGTTGTAGTAAGGAAAAAGATGGAACAAGACTTGGAATCACTTCAGCAAGACAGATCAGATAAAATAAACAGGTTAGGGATTAAAATCCAAAAAAATAAACTGTGTCCAAGAAGGGGTAGGTTCATCCTGGATACTTAGGAATTTCAAAAGTCTATATGCAGGTCAATACAAGTGATATTGATCAAGTTTTAACTGTGTTCCTAGAACAGAAATTTATTACATCATTAATTTTGTCATAGTTTGTGATATTGAAAGATGTTGATCATAGAATATTTACAGATTAATCTAACTTTGAATAGCTACTGATGGAGATGCTACATTTACCTTAAAAGGTAATTTAGAATCAAGAATCGTCCAATAAGAGCATCAGTGAAGAAATGCAACTCTTTCGGTTCTAGTTATATTACTATCTATAAAACTAAAAACTATAATCCATAGATTCTGTCTTATTTCTTGTGTCTCAAAAACTTCATGTTTATTTCTGCCCAATTTATATTCCATTGTCCCATTATTTTAATCACTCTTTTCCATGTACATTTAAATCTTTGTTCTTTCCCAATGTTGAATGAGTGGAAGTATTCTAATCCTAGTAAATTCCTCTTTTTTTCTACTCTGGATCTGTATGTGGAAGGTTGATTCTGCTGGAGAAAAACATGTAACCACTAACCAAATGGATTCTTCAAGATATTTGATATTCCCACTGTGTTCTTCCATTCATTGTTTGTCACAATCCAAGATAAATATCACACACCTTTTATTTTTTCTTCAAGTATCCCATTTTTCCTCCTTCATCTTTACTCTAAGCTTAGAAACACTTTAAGTGGCCTTCTAGGTATTTTATTAGGATATTGTGTTAGTCTGCTTTTTGTGGCTGTAACCAAAATACCTGACAAGAACAACTTAGAGGTGGAAAAACTTATTTTGGCCTCATGGTTTTAGAGGTTCAGGTCATGGTCTGCTGGCTCAATTACTGTGGGCCTGAGATGAAGCAAATAATGATGGTGGAAGGGTGTAATAGAGAAAGCATCAGTTCACCAGAACCAGAAAGGGGAGGGCAGGTGAGAGAGGCAGAGGGAGGGAGAGGGGAGATGGGGAGACACCAGGGATAAATAATCCCCAGGGTCTTGCTCCCAGCCATGTCCCACCTGCCTACAATTATCACCCAGTACACCTGGTCATCCATTCAAATTAGTAATCCATCAAATTAATTAATCCACTGGTAAGGTTTCAACTCTCATAATCTAATAATTTTACCTCTAAACATAGCTGTAATACCAAATACATGAGCTTTTCACGGGACATTAAAGATCAGAAACACAACAGTTATCTAGAAGGCCTCTTGAGCTTAACATGTGCCAAATGGAATTCCCAGTTTCCCTATAACCCCACCCTTCTTCAATGTTTTCTGTTTCAGGAAATGGCAACTTCATCATTTCATTGCTCAGGCCAAAAAAATTAGTGTCATCCTTTATCACTTTCCTACATCCATTCTGTAAGCAAATCTTACTCTACCCTCAAAAATCTATCTAAAGTATGACCATTTCTCATCATTCTTCTATTCCTTTCCCCTAGCCATATTTGTTTCCTTAGGGTCTTTTTAAACTGCCAACCAAGTTCCTACCTTAGAGTATTTATATTTTCTCTTCTTTCTGCCTAGAATAGACTTTTCTGGGTGTTTATGTGATTTGCTTCCCGATTCCCTTATATTTTTGCTCAAATGTCCAAAAGAGAGGCCTTTTTAATTTTTTTATTTTTTAATATATTTATTTTATATTTATGTGGTGCTGAGGATTGAACCCAGTGCCTCATGCATGCTAGGCGAGCACTTTACCACTGAGCCACAACCATAGACCGAGAGAGGCCTTTTTGACTTTTTTACATAAAATAACATCCCAAAGACCTTGTATTCAATCTGTCTTACCCTACTTATCCTTATAGCACTGTCCTCTAATAAAAATAATTGTATTGCTTAGTTGTTCATTATCAATATCACCTCACTAGAATTTAAAGTTTGAGAACAAGGTTTTTATATTCATTGTTGTAGACCCAAGACCCAGACGGGTGCCTGGCACAGAGAAGGCACTCAATATTTTTCTTGAATGAAAAAATTAAATGAGCTACCTATTTCTCATCAGGTCCTTTAAATGACACTATATGTACTAAGTAAATATATTCTGGATTTCCCCACTTTTTATGTTCAATAGCTATTATTGCTTTTCCAGGTGATCAATTTCAGAAAGTGGAATTGGCACTGACAGGCTCAGGACTTCCTGTCTTATTACATTTTGATCCAGGAAAAGTCCTTAATTTTACACCTTGTTTCGTGGGTGAACGTTCAGACATTCTGTGCATTGTACAAAATCGATCTAAATCCCTTCCTGTGACATACCGTTTTCAAAAAACTGCACATTTTAAAATTGATCCTGAAAAGGGCAAGATAGATGAAGGATGTATCCAGGTAAGGTAATTTTTCTCTACTTTCTTTCCATATTGCTTCAAACATTTTAAGGTCTGCTGCAATGCTATGTAGAGGATTAAAAAGCACATTATTGTACCAGTGTTTATAAAGTGTATCTCTTATTAGTTACTTCTATTAATTATGAATACTTTCATGTGTTGTCATGTAGAATCTATAATTAAGTACTTGTCACATGTCGGAAAAAACATTTTCTATTCTAGGGAAGTTAAAGATGTACAAAACATAGTTATTCTAAGATTTTTTAGTGTAGAACAGAATGGTAAGATATATACAATGTCTTATGTATATGTAAGACATACAGATCTATGACATAAGAATGTAGAATATACATTAGAGCTATACCACAGTGATATAGAAACTCAGAGAACACAGCGTGATTACTTACAACCAGGTAGAAAGGTCTTCATAGGAGACTTTAAATACTGAGAATTTTGAAATTTGAAAGTGGTGATACTTTAGTATGAGACTTGTATGGCTGATACAAAGCAGAAAGAATACCAAGGGATTCCCATGGACACAAGAACAGCTTCAGGATGTCAGGGGCTATTTTACTCATAACTGTTATTCAGACAACTCTTTCCCAGATCCTCTAAGCCAGGGGTTGGAAGGAAATGGTCTGAAGGTCAAATGTGCCCCAATGTCTGTCTTGATAAATAGTGTTACTGGAACATAGCCACTCATTTTTTCACTTACTGTCTAGAGCAGTTTTCATGCTCCAAAGTCAGAGTTGAACAGTTTTTGAGAAGATGGTTCATAAAGCCTTTTTTTTTTTTTTTTTTTTTTTTTTTTTTTTTTTTTTTTTTTTGGTACTGGGGTTTGAACCACTGAGCTATACTCTCAGCCTCCCCAAAGCCTAGACTATTTAATGTCTGGTAGTTTAGAGGAATAAGTTTGCCAAATCCTACTCTAAACAGTAAACATGAGTGCTTTCAGTTTCACCTTTGTTATGTCATTGTCTTTCTCCACTGCAGAGCTCATAAAGTTCTTGACAGGAGCTTTCTTTTAATTGCAACCAAGAACTATTGTATACATGTTCATATACACGTAGCTTCTATTTATATCTCTCACTGCTTCATTAGTGTGATTTCCCCCATATGGATAGATTTAATCAATTTTCATAGAATAATAGCAAATGTTAAATACATTATACAAAATATTTTCTTTTGAAATCTTTCCTAGATTTTTAGTCCAAGCCTCTTTAATCCACAAAATCTTTTTTTTTCTTCTAACAGCATGCATATCTTTCAAAATGTATCTAATAGCTATTTCCCTAATATTTTTAACCCTCTATGATTGTAGATTTCTCTAGCACATATAATTTTCAACTTAAAGATGTGAATGCAGGAAGTGTGGAAGACACCGGAGAACTGTGATGTACACAGACTAGTCAAGTGGCCTTTGACTACTTGGAAATGTGGTGAAATTATTCTTTTTAGAATAACAGCTTTATTGAAATATAATTTACATGCCATAAAACTTACACATTCATTCTATTTTTGATATTTAATTTGTTATTTTTAGTTATAAACGACAAACTTACACATTTAAAGTGTATAATTCAGTGATATTAGCATTATAAATAATGTGCTCTAAACATTCATACCAGGTTTTTGTATGGATATATTTTTAATCCTCATGAAATACACCTAGGAGTGGAATAGTTGGGTCATATGAAAGCTCTGTTTAACTTTTTGAGAAATTCTCATACCATTTGCCAAAGTGATGCATTATTATATATTCTCCCCAGCTTTGAATGAGCATTCCAATTTCTCTGCCTCTGTGCCCACATATGTCAATGTCCTTCTTTGTTATTATAGCCATTCTAGTGGATACAAAGCAGCATGTCATTGCAGTTTTCATCCCCATCTCCCCAGTGACTAAGGATGATGAATGTCTTTTCATGTGCTATTCTTCATTTGTATATTTTCTATGGAGAAATGTTTATTCATATCTATGATGGGCAGAATAATGGACTCCTAAAAATATCCCTATCTCAATCTCAATTTCATGAGCATGTGATGTTCCATGGTAAAGAATTCAGCTTTGTGTTAGAGTTAAGATGGATAATCAATTGACCTTAAAATAGGGGAAATAGGTTGGATTGCCAAAGTGGGTGCATAAAATCAGAAGGGTCCTTAGAAGTGGAAAAGGGAGGCAAAATGAAGATCAATATTAAGAGATATGATATGAAAAAGAAAGATGTCAGTGACCTTTGGTGGCTTTGAAAATGCAAAGGGGGGGGCCATAAAGTAAGGAATAGAATGTGAGATCACTTCTAGAAGCTAGAAATGACAAATAAAAAAAATCTAAAATAAAACAGGTTCTCCACTAGAGCTTCCAGAAGTAAATGAGTTCCACTGCCGCTTAGATTTTAGTCCATTGAGATCTCAGACTTCCACCTACACGTGTTAAATAAGAAATTTTGAGTTGTTTTCACCCAAGTAAATTTAAATAATTTGTTATAGCAAATTTAGAGACTGATACAATATCATTTCCTAGTTGTTACTTGAGTGTTCTTTTAGTTGGTGAATTAAGAGTTCTTTATGTATTCTGGATAAAAGTCGCTATTGTGTATATGAATTACAAATATTCTCTTCCATTCTGAGGGTATCTTTTTACTTCCTGGATAGTATCCTTTGAAGTTTTAAATTTAAGTCCAATTTATCTATTTTGTTTTATGCTTTTAGTGTATCATATCTAAGTAGTTACGGAGTAACCAAAGTTACTAAGTTTTGTCCCTATGCTTTCCTCTATGAATTTTAGCTTAAACATTTAAATCTATTATCCAGTTTGAATTTGATTTTGTATATAATGTAATTTAGAAATTCAAGTACATTCTTTCATATATAGATGTCCAGCTATCTCAGAATTTTGTCACCTTCATCAAAAACCATTTGATCATGAATATAAAGATTTCTGGACTTACATTGTTTTATATATTTATGTTTATCCTTATGCCATTACCTTTGTATATCACTTCCTATAAGTTTGTAATTATATTTGAAATTGGGATAAGTGAGTTCTCCAAATTAGATTTTTAAAAGGGTGTTATTTTTATTAGTTTATTATAGTTATATATACTACTGGGTTCATTTTAATATAATCATTCATGCATACAATATAATTTGCCCAATTCAGACCCCTGTACTCATTTTCTTACCCTCTTCCCTCCCCTTGTTCCCTCTTCTCTGGACTACTGGTCTTTCTGCTATTTATTTATAGTTTTTGTGGTTTCAACTTCAGAGTTAAACTGGCATCAGAACAAACTGGAATATTCTCTCTCATCTTTGATTTTTTAAATAATTTGTGAAGGATTGGTGCTAATTGTTCTTTAAATGTAATCCACTATTGAATCCATTGGTTCTGGATTTTCTTTGTTAGTTTTTTTTTTAGTAATCAATCTCTTTACTTTCTATAGAGTTATTCAAAATTTTTTTTCTTCCTTTCTGGGTCTATTTAAGTAGTTTGGGTCTTTCTAGAATTTACCTGTTTCATCTAGATTATTTTATCTATTGGCATACATTTGATTATATTCCCTTATTCTCCTTTTTATTGATGTCACTAAAGATGATAGTGACATCCTATTACTCAAAGCTCTCCGGTCAGTGTCCCCAATGCCAATCCAATAATGAAAACATGGTTTTGAGAAAAAGGAAAAAGAAATTTATTGCTTTGCTAGCAAAGGAGACTCCTGTCCCCAAGGCTGTGGTTCTGTCCTTCAGAAGGAACAGGGGGCTTTTAAAGAGGTAATTCAAAGGTGTTCCCTGTGGGTGATAAGGAGTGTTATAATTAACTTGTTAATTTGTGAGATAGTCATTTCTGAGATCTTCTGGCACCATCCCAAAGTATGAATTACTTAGTTCTTTAGTATGTATGTTCCTGGACAGATAACTTGGCCTAGGATGGGAAAGAAAGATAATCCTATTTCTCCAGAGGTAGGAAGGGGGAGAGGGATAAGAGAGGAAAAAAAGAAGACCATTTAAAAAATAAGTCCCAGTGGCAGAGCAGAAAGGGTTATATTCAAAGCATGAGGTGGACCACTGTTACACTTTTGCTGTATTTCATACATTTTGGTACGTTTTAGTTTTCCTTCATCTTAAAGTATTCTCAAATTTCCTCTGTGATTTCTTCTTTGATCAGTTGGTTGTTGTTTAGAATGATATTAATTTTCAACATTTGAGTTTTTCATGTTCTTTTGATTTCTTATTTCATTGAATTTTGGTTGGAAAACATACTGTGTAGATTTTAGTACTATTACCGATTTCATGGCTTAACATAGATCTATCTGCAATGCATTCTGCTATTGTTGGGTTGGATGTTCTAGAGATATATTTTAAACCTAACTGGTTTATGCCATTTTTTGATCAGAGGCCTGCTACACCCCGATGTTTGGTGTCATAAAATTTCTAATCTACAAGTGACTGAAGGAAACTGTTTACAAATGCAGAAGAGATGAGGGGAAACTGCTCTTTTCACAGGCACCTGTTCATCTGTTAAACTTCTAGCCTTCCTGTGTGCCTCATGACCTGGCACTGGGGTGTTTACATTTCAAAAAGGGTGAAGTCCAGACTCTAAGAGTTATTTTACATTCCAAAAGGTTAGAGTAAGAAACCTGGTTAATTAGGTTTCCTGAAGAAAGGCTCTTAGAAAGGGAGGGGAAGCACTTTCATTTTACAACCTGGTCTGGCTTTACCATCTCATTACCACAAAAATGTATGGATATGTTAATTAGCTTGGTTGAACTATTTCACAACATATACACACATCACAATGCTAAGTTATATACTACAAATGTATACAACTTTTGTCAATTATACCTTAATAAAATCAGGGATAATGAAATTACTGGTTTTGTAGGCAGTCACCATAAGGGACCTCAATTAAGTTTGTTTTCATTTGTAAAGACCATTCCAGGAGGTTAACCTGTAGAAACTTTTCAATCATTTCAGCCAACTCCTGGAGTGGAGTATCCTGGAGTGGAGGGAGAGTGGAAGTGGGGGTGGACCCAAATGGAGATTATAGGAAAGTTCAAACTCAAGGGACACAGCCAAGTGAAAGGTTGCAGACCAAGCCAATAGCCTTAACACTTTTTCAGTACCTCCTTAGCAAGGAGTTTAATCAGTGCCTCTACCCAGGTGGAAAACTTGATATCAGTCCCCCTCTTGCCTTGTGGGGAATTCTCTTTCTTTTCCTACTTAAATAAATCCTACTCTGTTCACTCTTGCCTTCCATTATTGTCTGTAGATTTTATTTTTCAATTTTTCTAGACAAGAACCCAGAAGGAAATTGGTGAAATCTAGTTCCATCTCAAACTGATTTCAGTATTAGCTTAATTTCAATTATATATGAAAATTTACTTCAATATAATTGTTTCCTCTTCCTTTGTGCTGTTACTGTCATACAAATTTATTATTTTTAAAAGCCTGTCATTTCTCTTCAATAATTGTTTTATGCATTGATTTTTAAATCAGATGAATTGGAAAGCATTGTAAATAAAAATACATTTATGATGTCTTTTTTATGTATGTAGTTATCTTTAGCCATGCTCCTAATTGCTTTGTCTAAATTTACATAATTGTCAAGTGTCTTTTATTTCATCCTGAATGAGTCCCTTTAGTACTGTTCTAATGCAAATTTTCTAGTGACACATTCTTTCCACGTGTATTGGAGATGTCCTAACTCATACAATTTTGACTGAGTTTTTGGTGTGTGTGTGGGGCTGTCACTGGGGATTGAACTCAGGGACACTCAACCACTGAGCCACATCGCCAGCCTTATTTTGTATTTTATTTACAGACAGGGTCTCACTGAGTTGCATAGGGCTTCGCTTTTTGCTGAGACTGGCTTTGAACTCAGGATCTTCCTGCCTCAGCCTCCTAGCCACTGGGATTACAGGGATGCATGACCATGCCCGGCTTGATTGAGAGTTTTGCTAGTTACAGAATTTTGTGTTGACTTGTCTTTTTCATTTGGTATTTGAATGTGTCATCCTCGGTGCCATCTTGCCTCCAATACTTCTATTGCAAAGTTAGCTATGTATACTTTTGAAAACTTTGATGTGATAAGTCACTGTTTTCTTGATGTTTACAACATTCTTTTTATCATTAGTCATTGACAATTTGACTCTCTAGATGTTGATTGATATCTTTGACTTATTTTACTTGGGTTTTGTTGAGCTTCTTTGTTATACAAATTAATGATTTTCATCTAAATTTCTTAACTTTCCAGTTATTATTTCTTCAAATACTCTTCCTGCTCTTTTCTTTCTCTCTTATGAAGACTTCTATTATTCATATAGCACTATACTTGATGATAGCTCAAAAGTCTGAGATGCCTCTTTTGTTCTTCATCTTTATCTCTTTTCTAGTCTAGATAATCTCATATTTGCAAGTTTATTGATTATTTCTGGTGCTAGTTCAAATCTCTCATTGAGCTTTTTTAGTGAATTTTAAAATTTTAGTTTCTGTGCTCACTAGAATATTTGTTCTTTTTAAAAAATATATTTTATATTTCACTGAAATTATCTATTTCATTAGACATTGTTCTCAAATTTATTTTAAATCTTTAGACCTGTTTTCCTTTAGTTCTTACAGCATATTTATAATAGATGATTTATCATCTTAGTCTAATAGGTCCTACATTTGAATTTCCTTAGGGACACTATCTACTGTATTGGCCATACTTTCTTGCTTCTTTTGTTATGTCATAATTTTTTGTTGAAAAATGGGCATTTTAGGGCTGGGGATGTGGCTCAAGCGGTAGCGCGCTCGCCTGGCATGCGTGCGGCCCGGGTTCGATCCTCAGCACCACATACCAAAAAAGATGTTGTGTCCACCGAAAAAAAATAAATATTAAAAAACTCTCTCTTTAAAAAAAATGGGCATTTTAAATAATATCATTTGGCATCTATAAAATTTAAATTACTCCAAGGTTTATTGTTACTGCTGATTTTGTTGTTGTTTTGTTTATTTAGTGACATTTTAGACTAATTTTGTATTGTTTTCTTTACCGTGTGCTGCCAATCAAGTCTTTACTCAGTTAATTAAGTCTTCATCTAATGATTGGACAGAGCTTAGTTCAAATTGCTTGAATTAACAAGTCTCAGCCTATGTCAGAAGCCTCTTTGTAAGTCTGTTGAGGCATGTCTTCAAAATTTTAGCAGGTAGTTTCCAATCCATTTTAACTTTCAATTCCTCTCTATAAGGAGTCTCAGAGTCAACCAGAGGTGAGAGATTAGAGCTATCTCAAATTTCCCCGGGCATGTACACAGTCTGCAGATGTGTGTGGCAATCCAGATACCCAGAAATATGTCAGAGATTTCCAAATACAATATGACTACCTTATTCTCAAGTGTTTTTTTTAAATTTATATGCTTAATCCGTTCTTTTCCCATTATTAGATTCTTTTTTAAACTTACATGATGTCACCTGAAGTTGCTGTGATATTTAAAAATTGTTATTTATATATATCATTGTTATATACATGTATGTGCTTTTTTGAAGAAATCCTGGGGAAAGGGTTCTTCATGGGGAATGAGTTCTGATTCACATCAAATGAAGATGTGACCTCATAGGCTTTTTAGCCAGCAGCCAGACAGAACAAATTGATACAAGTTCTAGAGATGGAACTTCTAGAAATCTCCAAACCCATTCTTCTCCCTTCCAATTTGCTAGGCTAATGATTTTCACAGCTACCATAGTTGCAATGCTGTTTTTCAAGAAGACCACAAAACTGTGTTTAGGAGAATGGAATTATAACAAGTAAAAATGCCACAAAGACTTCTATTCTCTTATAGATTCAGCAACTTTAAAAAAAGTACTCCCTGGAGTTTTGTATCCCTTTAGATAATTTCTGTATATCTCAAAAATAGATTTTGGCAAAATTTTTGCCAGTATTTTCTGTGGAGAAGCAGATTTTTGGAGGTTCTTAGTTTTTTTTTTTTTTTTTGCACTGGGGATTGAACCCAGGTATGCTCAACTACTGAGCTACATCGTCAGCCCTTTTTATTTTTTTTATTTTTAGACAGCATTTCTCTAAGTTGCTTTAGAGCCTCACTAAGTTTCTGAGGCTGGCTTGAAATTGTGGTCCTCTTGTCTCGGGCTCCTGAGCTGCTGGGATTACAGGCATGTGCCACCATGCCCTGCCTTAATTTGCCATTCTTGAAGCACTTTGGTATTATGTTCTTAATTTTTCTTAGATAATTTTCCAATGAGTATCTTAAATGTTTGTCAATGCTGAATGTTGCTAAAGTGCTTTATGTTACATGATGAACTAGCATTCCTTGAAACTAAAGTGAATTGGTTTTCCTGGTTTGCTTTTATTTTTTTTCTGAACAATAGTATATTGATTACTTTTCATCTTTTTTTCTTTTATTTATTTATTATTTTTAGAATGTGATGTGCTCATTTATTCCACATCAAATTGGAAAGTTTAAAGTGAAGCAGGTGATAGATATTATTGGCCCAGTGGCAGATGAAAATTTGCAGTCTTCATCAATGAAACCGTTTTATCACATATATTTAGAATTCAATAGCATCTGCAAACCTTTCACTAAGAAAGTTGTGATGAAAATTAATCCTGGTATGCTATTATGATTTTCACCTGCTTTTGATTTAGTTGTTAATGTAATATTATCTTAATATACTAATTGCTTAGCTCTATATCAAATATGACCTACTTCAATGGTTCTTTTAGAATGTATCAAAACCCTTTAGGAGATCTGTTCAAATACATGTCACTGACCTCCATCCCAGCACTGATTATTAAATAGGTCTGGGTTGGGGCCCAAATATTTGCATTTCTACTTTATTCCCAGCAGAGGTTGTGTTCCTATTCTGAGGATCACATGGTTTAGTAACCTATATAACTTCTAAATATTTTAATGTTTCTGGTTTTTTTTTTACATTTTATTTTTCTACTTTGTTTACTTGAGCTTATAATATAAACTAGTTTTGACCATTTCATAGATTTTTCTTGCTGCTGTTTTATCCATTCCTTTATAATCTTTTATGTACTGAAACATGTAAAGTCACTGATACATAGCTGTCTTTAACCTACAAAAATTGCATTTTCATATGGATCAATGTAAATCCTTTAGGTTATTATATTTTATTTTTATGCATTATTTAAGTATTATTTTGATAAATTGTTTTGTGTGGGATAGCATATATGTTATTTCTGTGGTTTTGAGGCTTTAATATTTAAGTTAAAACCAATTCTCTAGTATATTAACTATTACATAGCATTTTTTAAAAACTAAAATTCAAAGTACAATATATAAACTTAATATTCAATTCTATAAAAGGTATATCTCCTTTGATCACTAATCCCATCGGACATTTTGTGGTCAGTGATTTGGAAAATTATAAGGTCCAGGCACCTGTAGCAATGCTTCAATCAGCCATGACACACATTCATGATCATCGAACAAATGAGGAATCAATGAAGGATGCACTAATAGCCTTTCCTAATGACCGAGCTGCAAGTATCAGGTCTGAAGACAACCGTAAACATTTCAGGTAACATGTAATATTAAAAACTGAAATTTTGAAAGACATAATATTTAAGATGATATGCAGAGGTCTGATCAGAACCTGATATAAGAAACTAATGATGGCAATAATAATAGTAATATCTTATGAGATGGTTTTTGCATGCCACTGTATTTGCTTTATCTAACCTCTTATCACTTCTATTTATTTGCCACAAAGTGAATGTTATACAAAATAATTCTTAAAATATATCATTGACAACTCTGGAAGAACAATAGAAATGATCACCTTTGGAAATGTAAGAAATCTTCAGAATAGTCATGTTTATTAAATATAGTTAAAACCTTGAATTTATCTAAGTAAAAAACTTAAAATTGTGATCAAAAACGATTATCCTCATCTTTGTTTACACACTCAAAGACACATTTCCAATAACCTTACCCAAACTGAACTAAAACTTTCCCAGTAAGGTTAATAAGGAGTGTTAGACTTCAATTTAAATTTATCCAAACCTCAAAGAAATTGCTATTTTACCAATGGTTAGTTAGACGTGACCAAGGCATCTTGACATCTTTTTCTGGTCCTGAGCCCAGAAATGTTTTAAAAACTTGAAACTTTCAGAACTAGTTTTCTTTTGGGCCTGTTTGTTTGCTATGAATAGTATATCTAAACTTGGTAATGGCTCTGGAGTTTATCCACTTGTCTCTTTATCTTAGGAGTCATTAAGCTCACCTAATTTTGCAGGCATCTTCTTATAATACCATTTGATTTTAGGGCATATTTTTGAAGCCTTCTACAGTTGGAAAAGTCTGGGTTTTTCCTATAGACTGTCTTAATAGTTTTATTTAGAAAATTCTATTCACATTTGACAAGTGTTATAAAACAGAGAAATGTAAAGATTACTTAGACTTCATTTAAAATAATTATATATTATAAATAGAAAATTGTATCTTTCCTTCTGACACATTGCATCTCCTCCTACCTTTCAGTGGTGGCTTCTGGAAACATTTGTTTCCCTTTCAACTCTTTCTAAAGCTTAAATAAATATGTGTATACAGATATATAATGCTTTAATATAATATCAGTTTATTTCTAGGTGTGTATTAATTAGCTCATCTAAAATTGCTAGAATTTAAAAAAAATAAAGATTAGCAGTTCATATTTTTTCCATAGCCATATTTATTTTTCTCAAAGGGGTTTAATGAACTATTTTCACATTAATAAAAAAGACATTTAATAGTATATTTTATGGCTAGTAATTAGTAACTTTAAGTAAAGAAAGAAATTTATTACAGGGTGCTTTTTGTTCATTGTAATTGCTATTATATTTAATGAATTTTACCTTTTCAAATTTTGAGAAGAAAATAAAGTAAGAATTTTTGTCTAATTTTTCTTTACAGCAGTATGCCCTGTGTTTAGACCTCCATCAGGCACATAGATGGCACTCAGTAATTTTTTAAATAAATAAATGAGGAAATTTTTTATTTACATTTTCATTCCCATTTATTGCATTTTTTTAAATCACCTACTCCAAGCTGCAAATCTACTTCTAGATGTATATTTTTTAAAGTTCCAAATGAGAATTTAGATTTGTTATTAGTCATCCGCTCCTAAGGGATTTACTTCACTACTGCTTTTCATGTTCCTCCCTTTCTCCTTAGAGACCTCAGGACTTTAGATATAGGAATTATTTCTAGGTTCTAAAAATGACAAAAAGAATCTTGGAGTCTAAAGGGAAATTTAAATATCAACAACTATCCTTGAATGACTAAGTACTTTCCCTCTTAACTATATTACTCTGTTTACAGGAAGATGACTTTTAGTTTTCAACATTGAGGAATTGTGGAAAATGAAGAAAACATTAATTTTTATTAATATTCACTTGACTGTGAGACTAATAGGTTCATACTGATGAGTTCATTATTGAGGGTGAGATTCTTGATTGATAAAATTTACTGAGGATTGAGGTAGACTAATGCCTGAAGGTGTAAATAATGCATTTTATGTTTTTATTGAAAATACATGGTGGGTAAAATGGAAGAGCATGAGGCAAGTTGAGTGAATATAAGGCTGATCTAAAGGCAAGAAACTTAGGAAACGTTAATCAGATTCAGATCTAGTTTCTTAAAGATTGATCTATAATCTAGAATTGTTTAAATTTCCTACTTGTCCAGCTCCTGAAAGATGGGTTTAAAGTAGGTACACTTACATTTCAATAACCTTAAGAGGAATTTTTTTCTTACTAGCTTAAGAAAAAAAAAAATCGAGTATCCTAGAAGTTCTACATGTAATAGTGTCTTAATGCAGGTTAGGATATGAGAAAAAGGACTAGAGTCTGTCCTATTCTCCAGTCTGTGTTCAACACCTGACATTGAAATTGGTTAGTAGGCACTCCATAAGTACTGATTGAGCAAATGCATACATATGAATTTTAACACGAGTTGCTCATATTGTAGGACAATTTTCACAAAGATTCCAAGACATACTTATGTGGATCCTGATTTTGCATATACTGACTTTGAAAAACTCGAAAAGAAAGCACATCAAAATTACTATGACAATTATATTAAATATTTAAGAAGTGTACGCCTACAGAAAGAAGAGAGGTAAAGTTCAATTCCTCAAGCCATATGCAGCAAGTCATAGTAACAATAGCCAGAATTTTTTCTTTTCCTTTTTAAATTAAGTATTATTATTTTAATCGTACAAACTTATGAAGTACAATTTGTTAATTTGATACCTATAGACAGTCTGTAATGATCAAATCAGAATAGTATCTCCATCTCCTTATTTTTTATTAACATAATAATCATACCTATTTATGAATTATAATGGGATGTTTCAGTACATGTATATAATGTGTAATGATCATATCAGGGTAATTAGCATTTCCATCTCCTTATCATTACTTTGTGTTTAGAGTCTTCAAGTTCCTCTCTTCTATTCTTACTAAAATATACAATAGGTTATTGTGAACTATAGTCACTCCACTGTGCTGTAGAACACTAAAACATATTGTGTCTCTCTACCTAACTATGTTTTGGTGCCTGTCGTCCAACCTCCCCAACTCTTCTGTCTCTAGTAATTACTATTCTACATTCATATAGATACTTTTTAGCATCAACATATGAGGTAGAACATGATGGCCAAATAATATTCCACTGTTTATATACCACATTCTCTCTCTCCATTCATCTGTTGATGGTCACCTAGACTGATTCCGTAACTTAACTATTATCAATAATGCCACAATAAACATCAACAAGTATGCAAGCCATCTCTTCATTAGGTTGATTTTATTTCCTTTGGATATAAACCTAGGAGTGAGTAATTGGATCATATGGTAGATTTATTTTTATTTTTATGAGGAACCTACATAACGTTCTTAGTCATGGCTATACTAATTTATATTCTCACTAACAGTATATTTAATTCCTTTTTCTCCACATCTTTCCAACATTTTTTAAAAAAATATTTATTTCTTAGTTTTAGGTGGATACAATATCTTTATTTTATTTTTATGTGGTGCTGAGGATTGAACCCAGTGCCTCATGTGTGCTAGGTAAACACTCTACCACTTGAGTCACAACCCCAGCCCCAACAGTTTTTTAATAATAGCAATTCTCATTGAGGTGATATGTTACCTTATCAAAGTTTTGATTTGCATTTTTCTGATAAGCAATGATGTTGAACATTTTTTTAAAAATTTTAGCCATTTGAATTTGTTCCTTCAAGAAGTTTTTGCCCAGTTTAAGTTGGATTAGTTTTCGTGGTTGTTATTGATTTTATTTTTAATTCTTTATGTATTTTGGACATGAATCCTTTGTCAGATGAATAGTTTGCAATTTTTCCCAATTTTGTAGCTTGCCGCTTCGCTCTCTTGATTGTTTCCTTGCTATGCAAGAGCTTCTTGGTTTGATATAATCCAATTTGTCTCTTTTCACTTTTGTTGCTGGTGTTTTGGGAATCTTGTCAAAAAAATTGTTGCCTATACCAGTGTCTTGAAGTGTTTCCTCTTTGTTTTCTTCTAGTAGTTTCATAGTTTCAGGTCTTACATGTAGGATTTTGATTCATTTTATGTTGATTTTGTGTAGCATAAAAAATAGGGTCAAAGTTCAGTCTCCTGCATGTGAATATCTGAATTTTTCTTCATTCATTAGTTTCTTTTCCATTTTTAATGATTTAAACAATTAATATACAGTAAAAGCAAAATATTAAACCATATTGTTACTTTTTGATTTGGGGATATTTCATCTAAGTTTCTCTAGAAGCAAATCCTAAGACAGGGATTTTAGTGTATGTGATTTATGGAGAGTATGCTGTCAGGAAAACACTTTACAGGATGAAAGAAGCAGAATAGGGAAGGGAAGGGAAATGATATAGGCCATGTTTCAAATAAAATTTAAACAGCCTCCTGCCTAAAGTCTCTTGAGCATATATTATACCACATAGATATTTCTGCCTTGAGCCAGAGGGGGGCTTGTCTTTTGTGTTCCATACCAGGCTTTGATTATGAACTGTCCCTGAGTGGCAGTAGGGTGGGGTTGGAGCATATAAACTTTCTTTGTGAGGTGTTTGAGAAAGAGGAGTGCCTTCAGCAAAGAAAATTTTCTGCAAACTAGTGCACCAATATGGTTAAGTAGATATTAGTGGGACAGTAATTGCATATATTATGGGAAATATTTGAATATATACAAGTATTTTCTAAAAGACTTGGCCTCAATTACTTATTATTTTGATAGGAAATGCATATATTCATATGACTATACAGACATAGGCATAGAGCCAGCATCAGGTCTAAAGCCACCCTCACTCTCAGAAGTGGAAATAGAAGAGTCCCAATCTTCAGCTGAGTGTCTGATCAAAGCTAATCAATTGTTAAGTACCAAGAAAATAGCATCCAAGGAAATGGAATCCCTGGAAAGAAAGGCATGTGCAATATTTTACATTTACATTTTGTTATGCCATGAGAATTATTATAATGGCTTTTGCTAATATTGAATGATTAATTTTGGGAAAATGTGGTTTTTTTCCTCAGGTTCTCAAAGAACTTAAGGCATACCCATCCACTCTCCATGAAAAACATGATTGCAGCTTAATATTGACACCAAAGCAAATTCATCAAGTAATTGTTGGTAAGGATATATAGAAATCTACTACATTCCTTGTTTGGTTAAAAAATATTTAACAAATTATAATTTATATTCCATAAAATTCATCAATGTATACAAACCAATACCTTTTGGCAATTTATAGTTACATTATCACCATCATAATTAAATTTTAGAATGCTGCCATCATCTTCATGCCTGAATGTAGTCATTCCTTATTTCTACCCTCAACCCCAGGAAGCCATTAACCTTCTATCTATTTCTATAGGTTTCCTTTGTTCGGAACAATTCCTGTAAATGGAGTTATATAATATGTAATTTCCAATGATGCTTATTTCACTTAGCAAAATATTTTTGATGCTAATTCACATGGTAGTACTTATTGATATTTTGTTCCTTTTTATATCTAAATAGCATCCCATTTTATGACTATATCACATTTTGTTTATTCATTTATCAGTTGGTGCACATTGATCTATTTCTAGTTTGAGGCTATTATGAATATTGATGCTGTAGTATTCACATAAAATTCTTCGAGTGAACATATATTTTCAATGCTTTGGGTTAGATTCCCAGGATGGAATTGCTGGGTTGTATGGAAAATTTATGTATAAACTATTGAGAGACTTCTAAATGTTTTTCAAAGTGACTATATCAAATGACAATTCCACTAGCAATGTATGAGGGTTAAAATTTCTCCACATTCTTACCACCACTTGTTATTTTCTGATTATAGCCATTTTAGTGGGTGTGAAGTGTTACCTCATTATGGATTTGATTAGCATTTCTCTAATGACTAGGCTTATGAATATGTTTTCTTGTACTTAGAGGAATGTCTATTTATATCATACATCTTCTTTGGAATATTTCAAATCCCTTGCCCAATTTTTAATTTGAATATTTGCTTTCTTCTTATAGAATTATAAGAATTATTTGGATATTCTCAATATAAGACAGTTATCAGATATATAATTTCCAAACATTTTTCTAAGTTCATGGGTGATTTTCTTTCATTTTTTCATGTTATTTAAAGCACAAAAGTTTTACATGTAGATGAAATTGAACTTATCCAACTTTTCCTTTTATGGATTATGATTTTCTTGTCATGCCCAAGAAATCTTTGCCTAAGTCAAGGTCACTAATATTTTCTCCTAAAAAATTTTTATAAGTTTGGATACTATAATTAGGTCTACAATCCACTTTGAATTAACTTGTATGTTTGTGGTATGAGTTAAAGGTCTACATTTTTATTTTTTATGTGATATGCAATTGTCTCACCACCATTTGCTAAGATATTATTCCTCATTGAACTTCCTGGCACTTTTGTCCAAATTGATCAACCATATATGTCAGAGTTTATTTCTAAATTCTCATTCCATTCCACTAATCTATATGCATATCTTTGTGAGAGTTCTACATTGTCTTGGATATTATAGCTTTATCAGCAGTCTTGAAAATAGTAAGTTCTTCAGATTTACATTTTTTTTCTAAGAATGCTTTACCGGTACTGGGCACAAATAGGGTCTTATAATGGCCTACTTTGTCTTTCTTTTGCCGAGAGCTTGATCTTTAGTCCCTCTCACTTTTCTATTGCTCTCTTTATTGAGATTTCAGGTCACAATGTTGGCCTTTCTTAAATGTTTTCTATTGAGAAAATCATTATTTTGACAACATCCCTATGTATGAAAATTTCCAACTCTGTTCCAAATATAGTTAATTTCCTTCCATTGTTCTGATAACACTTCTGCACCACAAAGCTGGGTGTGGGCAACAGGAGCAGTCCTAGACTAAAACTCTACAGACTTTGACTGCTAATAATGAGGTTTTAGAGATATTCTTAAACTAATGTTTCTTAATTTGTTCTGTCCTTTTGGCCAATTTTCAGTTTTTAGATGGTTGTCTTTGAAAAAAAATTTTTTCCCTTCCTTTGTGGTGCTGTGGATTGAACCCAGGACCTCACAAATGCTAGGCAAGAACTCTTCCACTGAGCCACACACCCCTAGCTCAAACAATTTTGTCAAGATTTATTGTTGCTTTTGGAGGAAATTTACTGTGCTTCTCAATCATCCATTGAATGGCTTTTGAAAAATAAGAATTTTGTAGTCATGTCAGTAAAAATTGAGCATTTTAAAGTTAAATTTTACTTTAATGTATTGATTTTTGTTTCTATTTTATACATGCTTATGGTGACAATAATATCTAAACTGTTAAAATTTTAAAATGCTGTGTTTATGTGTACTTTAGATGTTTGTATGTAATATAGATGATTGACATGTAGGTTGTTAGCTCAGTTCTTTCTCAGTGTGTCTTTCAGGAACACACTGTGCAACAGAGTAGGAAGACTCTGTAATGAGGCCATCCTCAGTTTGGTTCTAGAACTTACTAGTTCTATGACATTAGGCTCTATCTCTGTGAATCTCAGTTTCTTCATTAGTGAGATGGATGATAATAATATTACATACCTCATACTGTGATCATGAGTGCAATAATATGAAAAACACTTTGCCCCCAATATCTCACATGTAGTTTAAGAAGTTTTTATGCAAACTCTTCATCCATAAAAAGAGCACATTACATTAGAAAATGGTTAATGTTGAACTTTAATCTCTTTATCCAGTCCTTTCATGAGTCTTAATTGAATGACTACCATGTACTAGGGACAGTCTGGGTTTTAGGGATACAGCCCTAAAGAAAATAGTAATACTGAGTCCTGCTCTCAGAGAGATTATATTTGCTTGAGATAGGAGGGGAGTAATAAGTTTATCTTCATGTAATATGACTTTGGTATACAATGATGAGGAAACAAAGCAGGAGAAGTAGATAGATAAAAATAAGATGTTTTTGTGTACAGTCTATTTTACACCAGTTTAGTCAGGGTCACTAACATGTATATTTGATTGGTGACAATACCTGTGTGAAATGAAGACTTTAGGCATCTGGGTTGACAGTGAGTTAGGAAAACTCTTTAGTTTGTTTGAACCCAGGGGTGCTTTATCACTAAGCTACATATCCATTCTTTTTTGTATTTTTGAGACAGAATCTTGCCAAATTGCTGAGACTGGCCTCAAACTTGTGATCTTCCTGCCTCAGCTTCCCCAGTTGTTGGGATTATAGGTCTGTCCCACCACACCCTGCTGACAGTTCCTTCTTAAACTTGCAGAAATGTTGCACAAGCTCCCTTCCTAGATTCGTTTCTACCAAGCCTGTTAAAGAAATATTGTAGTTAAAGATATAGTGGCTAAACTGGTCTGAAGACAGTGTTCCCATTTCATTCTAATAGTTAGGGTGGCCATGAAAGAGACATGGGCAAATGATGATTAATTATCATGGATAGACTGATTCTCCTTTTGGGGGTAATCAAGCACACAATACATCACATACCAACTCTGAAATTGTCTGGATTTGTGATTTTTAAGAAGGTACAAGGTCAGAGGCAAAGCAAAGGAAGTGATTATATATCTGGATTTTGGTGACTTTTTATCACCAGTCATTAGCCAAGTCTCAGGTCAGTATGGCCTATAGGAAATGCCCAAAGCAATGTCTGGGGAAAGGAATTGGCATGGGCTGATAAAGAGAGTTCTATTGTCCCACCATTTGTTGAGATAATAGATCTAACATCCTAAGAGCACTTGAGTTGAACCTCCCTGCCACACTGTGACAATAGGGCACTTTGGCATCAGAGTCTTATTAGCTCAATGCTTAATTGTTTATGTAGTTCAGTACAGGACAAAAACTTAATGTACACCTGTTTTGTGCCAGGAATATAGGTACTGAGTTTTATAGTTCAAGAGAATTTACTTTTTACTATTGAGTGATAAATATTCTGTGCTTCCCAAATTAGTCAAGTCGCTAACTGAACAGATAAGCAGATCTATACAAATACAAAAGAAAGTTAGAAGACAATGAGTATTGTCTCTTCTATGACTTCTCCACCAGTTTCTGTCTGTTCTTTATCTAGTGTCCTAGGCAGTTTATTAATGATCCTCTATGACAGAGACTTTGAATTTACAAAGTTAGCAACTATGCAGATGGAAATTTTGTGTCAATTGGAGGAAGTGGTCTATGAACCTGGTAGGAGAGTCACTCTTATTTTTACACTCTAAAGATGCTTTGTGAGCCTCTGTACAGAGCAGGGACTGGCACCATCAAAGCAGATTGTAGTTTCGGAAAAAATGGCCCTATAATCATACTATTTTTTCAAAATTAAAATAATAAGAAACACAATAGATAATTTGGAAATTATTCAAATCAATTAGTAAAAAAATTTACAGTAGTCTGGATTACATTGAAAGTTATATAAAGTATTATTTTCTTCATCTGCATGTGTCTAATCATTTTGATTTTTATTCTGGCATTTATTGATGCAGTTTAAAGCCAGGCATGGTATTGAGAAATTTATAAACATGAACTCATTTAGTTTTTTAAATAACATGAGAAACTTACAAATTAACTAGGTTTCTATCCACTTTAGAGATTAATAAAATCAAGCCAAATGAATACCTTAGTCAAAATGCCCAAATATTTAGTGAAAAAGAAAGAATTTGAAATTAGGTTTCTCTGGCCATATATTTTGTTTTGATTTTTCATTTCTAATTTACAATCTATATTTTTCTCTAAAGTCAGTCAGCTTTTTCTTCTTCTTTCTCTACTCAATATTGTTAAATCATAATACAGAATTTTTCATCTGTTTTCCTAAAATATCAATCCAGTTTTTTCATTTGTTCTGTTTTAACTGTGCTTTGTTTCAACATAAAAATAATTTCATCCTCATAAGCTGAGTTAGAAGAGTTGGAAAGTGTTCCTTCTCTGCTATAGTCTAAAAGATTGTTCTATAATCCTTCTTCTACATTCTATTGAATTGCTATTCTTCTTTAAATGTTAGGTAATTTCTCTGAAGAAGGAGATTTCATTTTCAGAAGATATTTAATTGCAAATTCAATATATTTAATAGTTGTAGTACTGTTCAGATATTCTGTGCCACATTCTGAGAGTTTTGGTAGTTTGTGAGTTTTGTGGAAATTTTT